TGGAGCTCTTTGGAAGAAAAATGTGGTATGTAAATGTAAGAAGTAACACACAAATGGTTATGCGATGTGCTGCCACCAGCTCTGGTGGGTGGCTACTTGCAGGCTTAGGTAGCTTTTAGAGGGATCTGAGACAAATTAGTAAGTGGCACTGTGGGTTAAATCACAGAGCCTAGGACTTGCTGATCAGAAGGTCGGCGGTTCGAATCCCTGCGACAGGGTGAGCTCCTGCTGCTCAGTCCCTGCTCCTGCCAACCTAGCAGTTCAAAAGCATGTCAAAGTACAAGTAGATAAATAGGTACTGCTGCAGCGGGAAGGTAAACAGCGTTTTCGTGTGCTGCTCTGGTTCGCCAGAAGCGGCTTAGTCATGCTGGCCCCATGACCCAGAAGCTGTACGCCGGCTCCCTCGGCCAATAAAGCGAGATGAGCACAGCAACCCCAGAGTCGGTCACGACTGGGCCTAATGGTCAGGGGTCCCTTTACCTTTACCTGCAGCAAAAGGTTGCAGTGATGGACTGCTGTTCAGGCTTCCAGCCACTCCATTCTATCTCTCTCCCCATTTCCTCCCAACAGTTAGCATTTTGTGCCCACTGAGCATGACCTGTATGTAGTGGGGTGCCTTCTCCAATTTCGGGTGTGTTTGTGTGGGCATACTTGTATCTGTTCCCAGCTACATTAAAATCCTGGATTCCTCCTTTGCTTTCTTTGGACAACTCTCACTTCTGTCTCGGGGCATATCTAAATAGGTCTCCTCAGTATGAACCTGGAAATGACCTATCCAGACAACTGGATACTTGTCTGCACCCTTTTTGTATCTGTGTGCATCCCTTGCCCCATTCTAGTCTCCCTGGGTGGGTGGGTGGGAGACGGCTTCCTACTTTGGCATTTTTTTTACCTTCTAAGGGACAAGGAACCTTTGTCCCTCCGGATGCTACATGTACTCATCCCTGACGCTGGGGTGGACAGGAGTTCAGCAATATCTGGAGGGCCAGAGTTTCTTCACCGCTGCTCTAAATGTTATGAAGTCCTGACATTATCCTGAGTTTGCTGATACTTTCCTTTTGTGCCTGGGAAGACTCGAATCAGAAAGAAAGGGGATGAAGGAAGATAGCCCTCTTAATAGCTGTTAACCATGTTGACTAAATAGAACCTCCAGGTTCAGAGGTAGTTTATCTCAAGTCTAAACAATTACCTTCAAGCCTTGTTTGTGGGCTTCTTGGAAGCACTGGTTGGCAAATGCTGCATTAGATGGAGCATTTGATATGATCCCACAGAACGTTATGTTCCTAAAGGCATTAATTTGGTCAAGAGACACAACCACCACAAGGAATGTTAAAATACAGTGGTACCTCGGGTTACAGACGCTTCAGGTTACAGATGCTTCAGGTTACAGACTCCACTAACCCAGAAATAGTACCTCAGGTTAAGAACTTTGCTTCAGGATGAGAACAGAATTTGTGTGTGGTGGCACTGGGAGGCCCCATTAGAAAGTGGTACCTCTGGTTAAGAACAGTTTCAGGTTAAGAACGGACCTCCAGAACAAATTAAGTTCTTAACCCAAGGTACTACTGTATAAGGATGTTTTGCCATCTAACCTTGAATGTGCCTAGGGGTAAACTTTTTGAACTTTGCAATGAATTTAACTTGTATCCCTCGGAAACCTGAAAGGATGCCCTGGAACTAGCACTGGGGTCTGGACATGGGTGTCTTGTGAACTGAGCCCCCGCCCGACGTCCCTAGCAAGTTGATTCTAGATTGTTTTTTATTAAAAGCCTTGCGAAAGCTGGTTGGCAAATGGATTCTAGTATCATCAGTCACTGCTAGGTTATTATTTGAGCATTTCCATGGCAACCCTCACACTCTACCTTCTGATCTTGCAAAGACTTAACCTGCATGTTGGCTTTCTGTGCTGTAAGGGCTACCGCGTATTCACCCTCCCTTCCCAAAAGAGAGAGAGAGAGAGAGAGAGAATTGCTATGATGATGAGTTCAAAGCTGCAAGCAGCTGTTGCGCAGATCAGCCAAAATGGCATTTTGCACCAGTTCAAATGCAGTAGCAGTCCAGAATTCAGATGAGACATTTTGGAGCTGTGCCTGGTTTTGGATTCATTTTTATTTTAAAAACTTGCAACCCTCTCTTCCAGCTCACCTGATCTCTTGGAAGTGGTATACACGAAGCATTAAAAAGCAATTAGTACAATCATTTTAAGAAGCAGTGTAATTTCAATAAAAATAAAAAAAGGATAAAGGCAACTGGAGGTGCATCAGTGTAAAACAAGGAAACAATTTCCAGCTGAAAACAAAAGAAAAACGTCTGGGAAAATAAAAGTTACACAAATTCAATAAAAAGTATAATACATGCATACATGAATGTGTGCCTCCAAAAGCAACTCGGGGAGTGATGACCAACAGCAACAGAACCCAAATGGCACCATTGTGAAATAAGGAGGAGGTATTATGATGCCGGTGTTCAAAAAGCTTTTGACAAAGTACAATGCCCAAGACTCCTGAGTAAGCTTAGCTGTCACGGAATAAAAGAGAGGGTGCTTTTGTGGATCGGCAACACAAAGTAGAGAGTAGGAATGAATTCATAGTTATCCCAATGGAGGGTTATAGAAAGTGGGGTTCCCCCAAAAGATTGGTATAGGGACCTGGGCTTTTTAACTTATTCATAAATTACTACGGGTTAGAAGGGGATCCATGAGGTAGCTGAGTTTGCTGAATGTTCAGGATTATTAAAACAGAACTGATCTTCAAAAGGATCTTTCCAAACTCAGTGAATGGGTGGTAAACTGGCGAATGGAATTCAATGTGAGAAGTGTAATTGGATGCATGTTTTTGGGGGGTGGGGTGGGGGGTGGAAATCTAAATTCCATATATATGCCCATGGTTCTGAACTGGTAGTGACTTGACCAGGAAGGAGACTTTGTAGAGGTAGAAAGTATATTACCCCACCCTGTAATGTAGGAATCTCAACACACGGTTCCCCCATCCCATTTGAAATCATGCCAGACCCTACTTAGCTTTGCAAATGGGCTAGCGGTTTCATTGCTGAATTTTTATACCCCCTAAAAACCAGGGAGGGAAACCTTTGGCCCTCTGGATGTTGCATGAACTTTAATTCCCATCATCCCTGGCACTGCGCTAGACAGGAGCAATAACCAGACGGCCAAATCTTCCCTATTATTGCCCTAAAGTTTATTATGTTTATTATAATTTTTTGCAGCTGAAAATCTTGGGGTTACCCTAAGTCTGCTGGTACTTTTCTCCTGTGCACAGGAAAACTTGAATCAGAAAGAAAGGGGATGGGTGAAGATAGCCCTGTTAATGGCTGTTAGCCATGTTGGCTAAATAGAACCTCCAAGTTCGGAGGCAGTCTATCTGAAGATCTTGGCTCAGTGTGTAGCAGCTGTGTTGAAGGCAAATTTAATTCTTAGGGGTTAGGGGTCATTAGGAAAGGAACAGAAGATAAATCTACCGATAATGTCATTGTACAAATCGATGGTGCGACGGCCCTGGGGAATATCTGTGTCGCCTCACCCCAGAAAAGGATGATGCACAGCTGGGGAAAGGTTCAGAAAAGGGGTGACCCAAAATCATTTTTACATTAAGGGAATTTAAATGGTATGCGCCCCCCAAAAAAACTGGAGGAGAGTGACACATAGGTATAGAATGCTAGAATTGCAGAATCATAGAATTGTAGAGCTGGAAGGGACCTGAGGGTCATCTAGTCCAACCTCCCCCTGCACTGCAGGAATCTCCATGGAAGCATTCCTGACAGATCTTGGCAGGAGCCACCACCAAGAAGCCTCCCTCCTTAGAAACTCCTCGATTTGAAATTGCACCCCTGCCCTTGCTAATAATACAGTGGTACCTCTGGTTACAAACTTAATTCGTTCCGGAGGTCCGTTCTTAACCTGAAACCGTTCTTAACCTGAGGTCCCACTTTAGCTAATGGGGCCTCCCGCTGCCGCCCGATTTCTCATCCTGAAGCAAAGTTCTTAACCAACGGTACTACTTCTGGGTTAACAGAGTCTGTAACCCGAAGTGTTTGTAACCCAAGGTAAAAGGTAAAGGGACCCCTGACCATTAGGTCCAGTCGTGACCGACTCTGGGGTTGCGGCGCTCATCTCGCTTTATTGGCCGAGGGAGCCAAAGAAAGAGAGAATTGCTAAGTCACTGGTTTTCTTGCAGGTAAAGGTAAAGGGATCCCTGCCCATTAGGTCCAGTCGTGACCGACTCTGGGGTTGTGGCGCTCATCTCGCTTTATTGGCCAAGGGAGCCGGCGTACAGCTTCCGGTCATGTGGCCAGCATGACTAAGCCGCTTCTGGCGAACCAGAGCAGCGCATGGAAACGCTGTTTACCTTCCTGCCGCAGTGGTACCTATTTATCTACTTGCACTTTGAGGTGCTTTTGAACTGCTAGGTTGGCAGGAGCAGGGACCGAGCAACTGGAGCTCACCCCGTTGCGGGGATTCGAACCGCCGACCTTCTGATCGGCAAGTCCTAGGCTCTGTGGTTTAACCCACAGCGCCATCCACGTCCCAATAATAAACAAAAACAAAATAATGATAATGATAATAATAATAATTTATTATTTATGCCCTGCCCATCTGGCTGGGTTTCCCCAGCCACTCTGGGCGGCTTCCAGCAAAATATTAGATATTAAATTAAATAATATTAAATAATTCATCAAATGTTAAAAGCTTCCCTAAACAGGGCTGCCTTCAGATGCTTAATCAAAAGCATGCCCGCCCCCCGCAACCGGCTGCCTAGGGCAGTGCATGCATAGATAGGTCCGGGAGGAGAAGCAAGCGCAAGCGGTCGCGAGGACGCACGTCCTGGTCCCTTTGCAAGCGCTGGACTTGCGCCTTCCTCCAAGGATGGGGATATAGATGCACGGATGGAGAACCGGGATGACGGCGCCGCCGCGGGGATCTGCCGCTCCTCCTCCCCTTCCTCTGCCCCCTGGCGGCGGCTGCGGGGAGCGCCGTTTCCTGCTTGTGATGCAATCGGCGCGGGTAGAAAACAGCCGCCGTCGCCGCCCGCTGCTGGAGAAACTCTCGCTTGCAAGCCGGAGCTGCAACGTGTCCCGCCGGCGCTCGCTTTGCTGGGCTATTTTTTTTTTTTTGCAGAGCTCTGCTTCGGGAGCGGCATCTTTTGGAGACGCCAGAAGGAAAGAAGCACCCCCCGACACACACACGTCTCTGCAAGCCGTCCACCTTTTCCTCTGCCCACCTTTAAATTTTGGGGACTGGGCTGCATTTCTCCAGCGCAATGAAGGTAAGATCTGGAGGAAGCGATCGTGCGCAGCAGCAGCTGCTGCTTTTGCATCGCGGGAGGGTGGGAGATGCGCGTCTAGGAGCCCCGGCCACGTTTGCAAACACACACACGGGAGCCCGCTTACACGTTTCGGGCCCCGGAGGCAGAGAACGATTGCAGCTTCTGGGCCGATGATCCGGTTCCAATTGCGCTTCTTTGCTCCCCAGTCGTATCCATATGGGCCAGTGCTGAAAATGTATAGGAAACGGGGGAGCCACCCGCAATTTATTTATAGGAATGCTTTTGGTTTTTTGCATTAGTTCGTTAAGATTTTGAAGGTTCCTTTTAAAAAAAGTGGCGGGACTTTAAGGGTTAAAACCCCGAATTGCATTTATTCATTTTTTTCCCCTCGCGCGTTCAGTGGCTTCCCCTCCAAATACAGCATCAGAAAAACAACAGGCAATTGCAATGACTAATTCGGACTGGAGGTTTCCAGGGTTTATTTTTGTGGCATCTTCTGGAAAGAGCTATATTGTATATATGTGTGATTTAGTTTGTTTGTGTGTGCGATAGATACGCATTTGTGTCGGATGCTGCGATTTGTGGGGCCCCCGGAGTTTATTTATAGATCTTAGCTCTGCAGTCAATTTGCATGCTCCGAATCAGGGGAGTCATCGGGGAACGGGAGAGTCACTGGTTGTTGACGGGCACCCTCCGTGTAAATGGAAAGATGTGAGCTGTCCACTCCGCAGACGTGAGACCCTGCAAGTTGCGTATTTCCCTTTTCTCCCGCCTCCCCCAACTCGGTTCTTCTGCAACCGAGCTTCTGTAACAGATGTGCTCCAGATCCTGTTTCCTTTCACACATTTCCTCTGCTCTGTGGAAGGGAAGGGGAAGAAATTCTCATCTAAACTGCTAATGTGCACCTTTTAAACTTCCAAGATGGCTTGTGGGTATTTGGGGTGGGGAGGGAGGAGGCAGTAACTTTATATCCTGGTGAACAGCTGAACCCCAGGAAGTATTGGGGGGGGTGAGCCTGCAAGTAAGAGACCAAAGAAAGGGTCTGTATTCACATAAGTGTCACAGGAACTGAGCTGTGTGTCGTGCCCCTGGCAAGCTGGGCCTTGCAGCCAGAAAGCTAGCTCCTGGGCCAGACTCACTTTGGGATCCCTTCTGCAGTCTTAGGTAGAAAATCAAGGTTTGCCACCTTCATGTTCTTAAGGGCTGTGCTCCTGTGCCGTTAACAGCTGGTCGAGAGGCATTAATAAAGCGCTGAAGCTTTTCCTCTCAAACTTCTCAGATCCAGGGAAAAAAGCTTCTCTGTTGAATTTCAGCCTGCCATGCTGCTGACAAAGGCTAGGGCAAAGCTGGCAACTATGCAGCGTCGCATATGCAAAGTACGGAATGCAGAAGTGACCAATCGGACCTGCAGCAGAATGTTGCCGTGTGGAGTACTCCTGTTCAGGGCTCCCGCCGGCCATGCCCTCTTCCAGACTATTCCATTCCATTTCCCTCCCCCACCCCTGGCACTCCTTCCACAGTCTGTTAGCATCCTCAGTCCTTGTTCATAGGACTTAGCAACCTGTCCTATACAGAGTCAGGCCATGGGCCCATATGGCTCGGTATTGTCTGCGCCAGGTATCATCAACCTTTTAACCCAAAAGTGTGTTTGGGGACCCATTACTTACTCTTCCCCCATAGATTTGCATGGCAGTAGTGCTGTTGCAGCACAGTAGTCCTGTTGCAGCACACCTTGGATCAGGCTGCGTTGATCGGTAGAACAGTGGCCTGCACTGACTGGCAGCAGCCCTCTGGGGTTTTAGACAGGTGTCTCTCTCCGGGGTCTGTTTGGCCTTGCTGGGAATTGAACCTGGACCTTCTGCATGCAAGGCAAATGTTCTGGCTCTAAACTACGACTCTCCCTTCAGTTGTTTGGGTCTCCCTTTCTTTTAGCTTTCTTAATTTGTTGCCATTTCTGCGGAGCTTAGGGGCTCCCTCGGCCTGCTAACACAGTGCCCCCAGCCCTTGGTGGTTGGACAGTGCTTCTTGGCTCCCCGCAGTTTTGGGAGTTATGTGGGTTAAACCACAGAGCCTAGGACTTGCCGATCAGAAGGTCGGCGGTTCGAATCCCCACGATGGGGTGAGCTCCTGTTGTTCAGTCCCAGCTCCTGCCAACCTAGCTGTTTGAAAGCATGTCAAAGTGCAAGTAGATAAATAGGGACCGCTCCGGCAGGAAGGTAAACGGCGTTTCCATGCGCTGCTCTGGTTCGCCAGAAGCGGCTTAGTCATGCTGGCCACATGACCTGGAAGCTGTATGCTGGCTCCCTCAGCCAGTAAAACGAGATGAGCGCTGCAATCCCAGAGTCGGCCACGACTGTACCTAATGGTCAGGGGTCCCTTTACCTTTATGAGTATATATTCAGGGGTAGCTAGCTTGGTGCTGTCCAAATATTATTGGACCCTGGTTTCTCTTATGCATTGACCAGGCTGGCTTGGGCTGATGGGAGTTTGGAGCCTGGCAACATCTGGAGGGCACCGTGTTGCCTATTTCTGGTATATATTATTTGGGCACTGCTCAGTTGACCTCCAGTCTTCGTCAGGCTCAGCTGATGTGTTAAGGTGATGTGCTATCTAACCAAAGGACTGGACTTGTACCATTACAGATTGACATAGGTGCTTGCATGATGGAATGTTCCATTTATTGGGACGGGGTGGGGGGAGCCCAATAATATTTATACACATAGAAAACTTCGTGTATCAGAGAGGTGGCTGTATAACAGCTAGCTTTCTAGATGCATGGATATACAGGGGGGAAGGCAAGGTTTTTTTTGAGGGGAGTACCATCGCATCTCTTTTTTGCTGCCCTTGGCATCCATTTTGTGCTGGCACCCACAGCACTTTTTATCAAGATATGAATTCTGGCACCTCCTTTTATTTTTACCAAAAACAAGCACTAGAAATAGTTGTTTGCTTCAAAGAGCATTTGGTCATGATGTGATTGAATCTGAAGCGGTCCAGACCAGGTCAGGCTTATTCCCTGATTTGCCGTTTATGAGAACTTGTTATCTGAAAGTCAAAAGTCTTTCAATATTTTAAAAGGATCGTCATCCACTGCTAATGGGGCATGGAAGAAATTGTTCCTAAAGAATAGCTCTATTAATCTCTACCAGTTAAAGGAATAGGAAACCCCTTGGCATAAATGTATTTTATTTTATTTATTTCATTTTTATACCACTTTTTTTACATTAAAACATCAAATAAAACAATCCAGAGCAAAACAACTGAGGGTCAAATATGAAGTATACATTCAAAGCAACATAGTTAACTGGAAACCAAAATATTATCAAAATAAAACGTGACAGAGGTCACAACTACAGAATGCACATTTAGCACAGCAAAATTATCTTAGAAACATTTCAAAAGAAAACATTTCTAAAGGAAGTAAAATAGCGCACGTTGAAAGCAGCGCAAACTAGCAGGAGAAATAAAAGTATTATCATAAGCACAAATCAATCAGTTGCAGGGGAAATAACAGCGTGTAGAGTAAAGCTCAACTTTGTCAGTTGTGTGAAATGAGATTGTGAAGCGGGTGGCCGGGCCATACGGGGGACATTTTTGTGAATAAATCAATTTGCAAAGTGAGCTTAAAAGTTAACATTAATCCGCATCTGCTCAGAAGGCAGAGGTTCCATATCCAGCTTCTCCTCCCCCATCGTTCTACCTGGACACTGAGGTCTAGCGCTGAGGGCCTTCTGGGGGTTCCCTCACTGTGAGAAGCCAAGTTACAGGGAACCAGGCAGAGGGCCTTCTCGGTAGTGGCTCCCTCCCTGTGGAATGCCCTCCCACCAGTTGTCAAAGAGAAGAACAGCTACTAGACTTTTAGAAGACATCTGAAGGCAGCCCTGTTTAGGGAAGCTTTTAATGTTTGATGCATTTTAATATTCTGTTGGAAGCCGCCCAGAGTGGCTGGGGAAGCCCAGCCAGATGGGCGGGGTATAAATAATAAATTATTATTATTATTATCAGCTGATGGAGGCAGCATGCCTTTGCAAACCAGCTGCTGGGAATCTCAAGTGATCTTGTGCTCTGATCCTGCTCGCAGGCTTCCCTTGGGTATCTGATTGGCCATTGTGCTGGACTACATCAGCCTTTCTGATATGCTCCAGCAGGACTCTCCTGATGCCCTTACACTTTGGAAAATTCACACAGAGAGGGAAGCTTCTAAACTCTTTCCTCTTTCATTGGTTTTCTCCACTGAGCAGTACCACCTCCTATTGCATTCACCCGAGGAAAAGATTCTAGTGCCAGTATCTTTTCCCCAGTGGAGACAAAAAGCAGCTTTTCGTTGGTGTCATTTTTAAAGCAATTATTCCCACCCACCTCCCGCATTTTGCATTCATCTCAGGAGTTGTACTGCATGCTGTTTTCCCTCTCTTTTTAAAATGTTTTTATTAAGTATTTTCTTGGGTTACAAAAGTACACACAGCGTCTCTGTTTTCAGACCATAAAGTCATTTCTACAGACCAGTTATTATTCTCTTGTTTTTTGTTAATATCGTACACGCTGCCTAGGATTTTTAAAAAATAATTAAAGGCGCTATGACAGAAATATTGTTTAGTAAACTGATTAACCTAGACAGCAGAGACATCACCTTGCCAACAAAGGTCCGTATAGTTAAAGCTATGATTTTCCCAGTAGTGATGTATGGAAGTCAGAGCTGGACCATAAAGAAGGTCAATAGCTGAAGAATGGATGCTTTTGAATTCTGGTGCTGGAGGAGACTCTTGAGAGTCCCATGGACTGCAAGAAGAACAAACCTATCCATTCTGAAGGAAATCAGCCCTGAGTGCTCACTGGAAGGACAGATCCTGAAGCTGAGGCTCCAATTCTTTGGCCACCTCATGAGAAGAGAAGACTCCCTGGAGAAGACCCTGATGTTGGGAAAGATGGAGGGCACAAGGAGAAGGGGACGACAGAGGACGAGATGGTTGGACAGTGTTCTCGAAGTTACAAACATGAGT